CGCTCAACATTTACATGGCTATATCAAAGCGTATATATGTGTGTATATGTGACAGGCCGTAGGCAGAACAGTACATCACTGACAACGTCAACTACGCAATAGAGCAGGCCAATATAGTTTACTCATATCGTACGTTCGCCAGGCTAGATAGCTACTGATTGTTTGGGATATGCCAGAGATGCTGTCTACTGTCTTGGGGCAATGAGTACGAATATAGATGACTGAGACTGTTCAAAGGACAATAAGGCGCTTCAATATTATACACAACACACTTAAGCAATACCTACATAATACACATGACACTATGTACACATACATAGTAGTCAAATACCTTGTAATCATCGGTTGCACAGGCCTGGGACCAAGTGGCGTCGATTTTGAAGTTACAGCGAGCAACACATCGATTCTGCAAGTGCGAGCAGTGGCGGTGGTAAGTCGCCTGAGAGCACTCAGCATTGCGACAGACGACAGTGCACTCAGAAGTAGGTCTGTTGACGTAGTATGTAATACAGATGACTATGTTCCAGCGTGTGTGACTGAAATGCTAACTGTCAAAATGTTTTAGTATATTCAAAATGTTTTAGTATATATAGATGGCTATTATAGATCGCTGAGTTTCTAACCCCCGGTCCCTTCGTAAGTTCCTTATGTGGTTCAGACATTCAGTGGTTGTGCGCGTATTTGGACTTCGTATTCCAGAACTGAGAAGCCAGTCACGAACTGACTCACGCATGACACCACTCACAGTCACAATGCACCTGTCGGGCCAGGTTATCCTTCCCGTCTTGGTTTAAACCTAAACCAGGCTAATATTTCCCACAATCTTAACACAGTTTATTGTAGTACAAATATTCAATAATATTCCTAAATAAACACATACAATTCTGTTCAGAAGATCGCGTGTCCCAATAGGTTATGGGCGATAATATCCCGGACGACGATTCTGTCCTACAGATTGAGGCTGAAGCCCCCTTACCACCCACCCCCAACGACGGCTACCACTCCCACCACCGACCTCACACCCCGAGGCGTCCCACCCGACGGACCGAAGCCTACCCTCTGACTCACTCCTCTGTCATCACCGACCCTCCCAAGTCCACCATGCTTGCCACCAACGATCGATCATCCTCTAAATGGACTTGGACCATTCTCGATCTCTCCGGGGCTCACTACGATACCTGGAAGACCGACCTTTATCTTGTCGCTGCTACGGAATACACTGTTGATCTCCGACCGTTGTTCGACTACGACAGCCGCAACGCTACCGATATGGCTGCTGCTCAATTTGCGACATCCCAGAAAGAAACTGGCGCATACCAATGCGCCCATCAGATTCTCCTCCGCTCGTTATCCGTAGCTTTACGTACGTTTCTCCGAAACGACATATTGCTTGGTCACCCGTGGCTCCTCCTTAACACTCTTATACGACGATTCAAACATCACCCAGCGAAGGACCGCAAGCACATCACTCACACTTACCTCCGCCGTTTTCGCCGCAAGGATGACGAAGCCTTGCGCGAATGGGCATTTCGCTGCAAAACTCTAATCAGCAGTGCCAAGGAACAGGGTACTATATTCTCAGCAGACTACACTCACAATGTTTTACTCTCTGGCCTCCCGGACGCCTATCCAGAGCAAACCAAAGGATACCTCCTAGGTCATTCTACAGCTACCCGCCGCACCATTACAATACAGGACCTATGTCTCTACGAAGAGGAGTGGGAAACCATGAATAACATTCGTCCCCCACGCGTCAACTAGCTTACTACCCCTACCGTCAACCCCTTGGATACCAAGCTTGAGGCACTGATCAAGCATGTCAACGCTATGACCATTACGCCTACAGCTCCCGCACCTTAACAGTTCCAATGCTATGTCTGCCGGTCGTCCCAACACCATTCCGGACGCTGTATGAAAGCATGCGGAAAGTGTAGAGACAAGCAACACACAGCCCAAGACTGCAAAACAACTCCGATACTCTGTACTAACTGTAATAGACTGAACCACCTTACTGTGGTCTGTAGTCGGCGAAGCCTAAAACTAAATTTTCCTTATATTGCGCACCAATCTACCACTAGCCGCGTCCGAGACTATACGAGATATCACATGGATTCGGAATATCATCAATGCCATGGGACTCGCTGTCTCTTCCTCGACTAACCTCTACGTTGAAAACCAGTCAGCTATCAAGGTCGCCCTTGGCACCGGCACTGCTAAGGGTCTCAAACACATCGCAGTACAAGCCCATTACATCCGCGACTGTGCCAAGTCTTGCATGATTACATTAAGCTATGTCAGCACCCACCTCAACCCAGCTGACCTCCTCACAAAATGCCTTGCAAAACCCAAACACGAATATTTTACACAAACACTTCTCCGAGACCATATTTCTCCAGCTCCAACACATCAACCCTGATTTTGGTTTATGGGGCCAGGTTAACCTTCCCGTTTTGATTCCGTTGACCCACGCTCCTACCAATTATTCCCATGCGTGAATAATATTTCCCACAATCTTAACACAGTTTATTGTAGTACAAATATTCAATAATATTCCTAAATAAACACAACCAATTCTGTTCAGAAAATCGCGTGTCCCAATAGCACCGCGATAGTTGAAATGAATTTTTGAAATAATTGTTGGAACTTTTGAAAGCCTTTTTGACTTTTGCCAACTAAAAGTTTAGTTGTAAATAGGGGAAGTTCTGTAGTTTTGGAGCCGAGTCCTAGGGTCCTCCTATATCGTGGATAGTGTCAACAGTCCGACATCCGACAAGACAAAGATGACACCAAACTGACATCTTTCAGACAAAGATGACACCAGTTTCGCGTATAAAAGGGGGACTCAAATAGGACAGAGACCAACAGTCCACAAAACTACCAGAGAAAAAGAGAGAATCCCTTCAAACGTCGACATGAACACCCAGCCCGAGAGTACCGGTCTTTACCTCACCGTCGACGAACAAGACGCCCAAGGTGACCTTCTCTCAAAGCTCCTCGACCAAGCGAACCCAGGATGACTAGCCACATATCGATGGATAATCCGACCCCAAGATGGAGGCATACGTGGCTGCTCTCGAGAAGAAATTATTCGTCCGCGACGCTGAACGTGAGGAACGCATGCAAGCCATGATTAACCAACGTGACCAGGAATAAACGGAGAAAGACGAAGCACATGCATCCGAGATTCAAGGTCTTAAGACTAGTCTTCTTTCTATGAACGAAAAATTCAACGTCAAGAAAGTCAAACACATAGACGATACTGAGGCTAGCCTTCGTTCCCTCACGATTACTCTTCCCGAACGATCAAGGTAAATTTGTAAAACTGTCCGCAATCAAAAGTGCGATGCGCCCCACCAACGCACGATAGAATACCTCTAACCTTAAGGTGGTCGACGGGATCGCAATTAAATCACACAAGGGATCTTTTACCTCTTTGGCCGATTTCCTCGACGCATGGATGACGCTCATGACAGCCATGGTTACTACAACGAAGAGCTGAAATTTGATCTAGCAGCTAGAAACGATCTACTTGGCTACACCAATCTGTGTTTCAGGGTCTCGTAACTCGTTGAGCACTGACTTGGTCGATTCCGTTGCATCAGTGAAATCTAATAGATATGTCACTAGTGCTGGGTACTGACATAATGGCATAGACTTGGCTACGAATAGGTCTCTGCATTGTGTAATGAACTCTATAATGTCTTCACAATGTTCCATTTTTTTTTAAACTATTGCTAGGTAGCTTCGGAAATTCTGAGGTCTTTAGTGGTTTAGAAAGTGCAGGTCCATTTATCTTGTCCCCTAAGCGTGAACGCATGAGTTCTATCTCACTGTTATACTGACTGTTCTGAACAAGCTTATCTTCTTCATCGTCACCACACTCATAGCTAGATCGTATCGCCTTCTGAGTTCTGTGTCGACGATTGGCATGCGTTGCTCTGGCTGTTGGTCATGGATGTCTACTCTCCTCTTGTGTAGACTGCTTATGGGCACCGGTGTAGTCTGTTCCAATTTGGATACAAATCTACTAACCAGGATGTAGCTGCCTTGACAGATGCTCTTGTCTATTTCTAAACGCATTGCTGAAGCTAGTATGGGCACAGCCCTCCC